GTGCTGCTCCCAGCTGTGGGAGGACCGGGATGTCGGTCCCATCCATCCCTGCCCACCATCCGTGCACCCCGGGGCTCCCCGCACCTCCCTGCGTTGGCTCCCACCTCATCCTCTTGCCCAGGCCCCAGGCACTTCCAGCCTCCTCTCCTATCTTCTAGTTGGGCTCCTGGCTGTTAGGGGCGACTAATCCAAGCCAAGCAAAGACGTTTAATCTGCAGCATCCCTTAAAATGTCTTTTCTACTTTATCTCTTTTCACTCCTGTTCTGGCAGCGTCCCACTGGGTGCCCTATGCGAGGACTGGTGTCAGTGATGCTGCTCTCCTAAGCCGCGCTGTGCTGGCACACTGCGGTTTGGGCGACTTATAATCGGCAGTGAAATTAGGAACCAGAAAGCAGCCGCTTGCAAAGGAAGGTCATAAGAAATGTCCGAGAGCAGCCCAACACAGGGCAGTTCGGCGTGAGCCCTGGGCTCTCGCTCCACCTCCCAGCCGGAGGCAGGAGATGCCGGTGAGCAGGGGAAGGCGGCACCCGCCGCCCTCCTGCCGGAGTGTGGGGCTCCCGTGGTCCGGGGAAAGCATCCATTTCCCTGCCGCCCCTGCGCCGTGCGGGGGATGTCCCGCAGGAGGAAACCCTACAGCGACCCAGCAGCAGCCAGCCCACCCCCGGTGGCCGTAGTTTTGCTGGAGGTACTTGCATATAGAGCTTTTGTAAATAGAAAAATATCAGTGATGGGGATTCAAGTCATAAGTTTTTTTTTAAAAAACTTACCAGGTTTACATCTTGCTTTTCTTCTTTTAAGCATAAGAGGTGGTTGGGTTTTTGTTTGGGTTTTCTTTGTTTTTCCAAAAGTGGCTCGAGAATAAGGACTTGTGGACCAGGTTGAGGCAGGCGTTTTGGGAGGAGGAGGTCAGCAGCAGCACGCAGGGCTGTCCCTTGCTGGCACCGCGCCGGCCTGCCGCGGCCAGGTCTGCGCGGAGGGAAGAGGCCAAGGCTGGCTTTAGCCCGGCGGTGGCCGCTTTGCCAAACCACTGCTGTGCCGCTTGCTTTTTTAAACAGTCAGGATTGCTCTTATTTTTTTTCAGCATTATGGCTCAAACGAGCCACGAACCAAAATAAAGACGTTTTAAGCATTTTCATCCTTTACCTGCTGGACCATCTTCTTC